TGCCTCACAGGGCTGGCAGAGTTTTAACTGAACCTTAATTTTGTGCTTTTAATTAGGTTTTCAATTATGTATGTACCATTCTACTGTCATTAAGGCMCAGCTCTACTGAGAGTCTCCCTGCTTGAAGTGTTTTAGGTTTTTTGTGGAGAAGTGCATTTTAGTGTGACTTTAACCTCTTCCTAAAGGCCTGGCCTCCACAGGGAAGGGGTGAAGGGCATGCCTGATTTTGGTCAAAGTAACATTCTATGCTGCCCCTGCCAGCAAGTTTAGGAGCATCCTAAAAGGCAAATCGGTGTACACCTGCAAATAACTAACCCCATAATCAATAAATTATTAATCTCATGTCAAGCAGTTTGCTTTGATCAGATTARTGGGTGGGATTCCCCTGTCACATCCTCTTCAGCCACACAGAGCTGGGTGGTGGTGACAGCCGAGTTTGTTGGACATGCAGAGCCCTGAGCAGAATCTGTGTGTGATGGAGAATGGCTCCATCTGAGCTCTTGGTCCTCTCCCTGATGCCCTGGCCCAGCCACCTGCTGCTTTGCTGTGGGAAAAAACACAACCCCAAAAGCCCCAAAGCAGCAAGCACCGGCTGATCTCTCAGGCTGCTGGATACACACAGCCATCTCCCAATGGCTGGAATTCCGAGGGGCCAAGCCAGATGTGGGGTAGAGTGAAAAGGGGAGGTGTGTGTGTGGGGGGAGTGGGAACCCGTGACCCACCTGAGCAACGCCGTAAGGCCGTGACCACAAAAACGAATGCAATGTTTGCATGACTGGAGATGGGACAGCAACAGCTCCAAAGGATACCTGCGAATCTGCAGGATTTCTTYTGCATTAGCTTAGATCAAATGTACYRGAGAAAAACCCTCCCAGAACTCCCGCAGTGCCTTGCAAATCCTTCCCGGAGCAGGGGAGGCAGGCTGCCACCCCTGTGCCTTGCACAGCTGCTCCAGCAGGGATGTGCTGCAGCTGGGGCACAGCTGATGCTCGCAGGGCTGCTGACACCACCAGCCTGCCCGAATTAGGCCGAGCGTGCTGCAGTGCTTGTTTCCTTTCCCTGCCCTTGTTATCTTGCAAGAACCTCTGATTTCAGCGCTTCAGTGCTACCGTAACACCACCAGACACAAGCCGAGCATCCCAGGGACTGAAATTAGCTACTCCAACTCTCTCGCTGGTCTCAGGCATCTCAGACTACTTACGATAAATATGTTCACAGGATTTTCTGTACCTTTACAGCATGTGCTTTCCACTGGCTGGCCCGACAGACGCTGCCTGCTCTTCTCCCACATTGCTTTCCTGCAGTATTGCTGAATATTTATTAACYGAGAGTTTATTGACAAGCTCCCGTGCACCCTTTTCTCACTGATGCCAAAGTCACAGCACTGAGCTTCCTCGTGAGGCACATACGCTTTCCATAACCTTTCATGGCTTCTGCGGGGGGTCTTTTCACTTTCCTACACACACAGAGCTCTGTATGTTACTTTCTTGGTAGGAATGCGCTAATTGTCACACGTCTTTCTTTTTTAAATAGCTTAATGTCATAATTATCCTCATTTTCTTCCTTCCTGCTACAGGCAATTGCTGGAATGTTTTAGCATTTTTTGAAAAAAAAAAAAAAAA